TGGGCTCAGGCAAGTTTTTTACCTGAACAGCCAGTGATCAATATGAACTTGCAAATCATTTTTGGTTGCTATCTCAAATTTCGAATTGAATAAAACATAAAGTAAACAACTTTTCATTGTTACTCAGTAACTTAGAAGTAAATTTATAAGACCAACCCCATTCCTGACGTCGCCAAAACGATAGTTAATGAGTTTATGGATTAATCGAAGATGGCGGACAGCTCATTGTTTTCGGTTAAGATATTTGAAGATCAACAAGATTCGAATAATCTGTAACAAGATTTTATAGATAATTTTAAACGTTCTTTCAAATGTGACAATAAAAATTTTTGTCGCCACTGTCCTACAAGTTAATAAGTTATAATTATTTTAAGCTCTTCATATGAGCAATCACATCAAAACTAAACTACTTCTATGTACACTATAATGGCTACGTGTATTGCAACGATGAGTTTGCTGAAATTTAAAATATAATATAAAGTTCTATGATATATAGTAAGAGACTTTTTTTCAATCTACCTTCAAAGTGACTTTCTTTTTACAGGGAAATGGCTAAAAGAGATGGACAAGAGGGTAGTTCAAAATTTACACTTATATAGTCCGCTAGACAGTTCAAAACAGATAGTTCAAAATTTAAACTCGTGTTATAGGATTAGGACTGGGGTTAGGTTTAGGGTAAAATATAGAGTAAGATTTGAGAATGTTATAAGTGTACGGTTGTTGATTCTAGTTCGCATTTTAACGATTTTGAAAAATAGCTGCCATTCTCGAAAACCTCCTCTCGTCAATTTTCTTTCGCAACGACCCTTTTTACAGCAAAAACACACCAATATGTCACTATTCTATACGATTAAAACGACATAATCCTTAGGCTACAAACTACGTAACAATGCATGTTAACTACATCTTCCAGCCTCTCAATGGCTACAGTTTAAGTGCTTTCTAAAAGCACAAAGGACGCTGTGTCAACTAGAGAGCCTTACAGTCAAATATCAACGACAACGAATTCGTCAAGGGCTTTTTCTTCCCACACTGCAGATATCCACCACTTGGTTATGTGCGGGTTGTTTCTTCATTTCAAAGTGGGAATCTTGGCCTCCGTTATTCGGACAAAATTCGTGGCGCTAGGAGCGACACCAAACACACCACGACGATAAAAACGGCTTTGTGAAGTCCAAAATATGATGTATCGTTGGAAGATACGGTTGGTGGTGCTAAAATGAAAATTAAAGTGATAAATTTTACCAAATCCTACCTTAATTAAGCAAAAATTATTTGGTAAAATCTCATCATGTCGCATGGCATGTGAACATATTAAATCATATTTTCTTATGACGCTAAGTCTAGCTGGTGGGCAAATTATCTGGTATTTAAACTATAGGAACAGAAATGTACAAATAAACTAAAACTGTTACTGTTAAACTCGTTTTATATAGTTACAAAATGGTGACCTGTGTTTTCTATAAGTTACCCAAAAAGACATACCCCAAAGACACGCCCCATAGTGAAATACCTTTTTTAATTGGAAGCCCGAGGCAAATTGTCCCTTTTTGTCCCCCTCTGGTGGCCCTGCTTGCTCGTTAAATGCGGTTTGCTTATTCATGATAGGGTAAAAATAATACATTTAATAAATCATGATTAACTAATCAAATATATAATAGTTATGCGCCATGTGGCATTAATAATACTGTATATAACTAACTTTTTTCTTTTACGCTGTTTTTCTCAATTCCTAGTTTTCCCAGTTTTCCATCTTTTGTTTCGCTCTGTAGTCTTTCCAGAGGATTACTGATCTTTTTTCGCCAAACAAGCTTAAATTCCACCACCACCTTATTCTTGCTTAGACTAAATATATAATGCATGTTAGTGGAATAATTAAGTGCATGCCATCAAGTTTGCAATTTTCGTTCTGTCTCTAAAGGCCTACACTATACATGCAACTGTAGCTATATATTTCTTTCTACGATTTTACTCGCTATTGTGTATTATTCTTTGTAACTTTCAAATATTAAAAAATTTCAACATACCGAAAACCTGTAACAAAAACGTATACAAAATCCTTTTCGTTAGCATAGATTTCGTTGATCTATAAAAATACAAGTAATTTATTTCTTAGAAGAAAAGGCCACAAACGCACCTTGTTAAAAAAAGAAATCTGCGCATTCATTTAACTAAATACTAGTGCAGGCATCCGGCTTTTGCCTCATTCATGGTAGGTTATTGGTTGACAATATAAGGGGATAACAACTGGGATTTAATAATTAGCGACAGGGTAATATGCAGAGTATTATGCATAAGATTTTGTCAGTCTTTCATTCATAGAAAATAAAACGGCAAGTATACCTCAATTGCAACTACAGATGACACGTTTTTGAAGTAAGTAGAACTCTTATCTTTTAGATCGTCCTTCCATTCCACACCTGATACTACGTTAAGGGTTCCGTCCACCTCAGTTGAATCTGAAATTACACAAAGAAAAATTTCATTTTAAAAATAATACTAGAAAAATTTGCTATTATTTAAAAATAATACTAGAAAAATTTGCTATTATTTACCAAGGTCCTAAATTTTTTAACTCCCTCCCCAAAAATATATATGATGCTTCATCCGTCTCCGGTTTTCGGAAAAAAACTTAAAGAATATTTATTTAGACTTTAATTTTGTATTATTTAAACACACAATCAATGTAACATAGTTTCTATCTATGCTTTGTCAAAAACCTGATCCCAATTTTTTGGTCTATTTTTCCTTTTCATCCAAATTTTGTTTGTTCGTTTACACATTGTATCTTGCTCGATATGTTTTTACAGCTAACACTAAAATTTTGCTATATATGTATTACTGTAGTTTGATCTAGGTGGCCCAAATTACATAAGCCCTTATGGTTTCTTTTGGGTTTCCTTGCCTTACAAAATGTAATTTTTTTTTTCTCTCTTTGATATTGTAAACATTTTTTTTTTGCTAAAATAAATTGACTTGACTTCGTGGTGCATGGGTATTACTTTTTATGTTGTTGGAAGGCTTCGGATTAATATTTGTTCAATGCTGCAGTCCTCGCGTTACTACTTGTTCAGTGGTGCTATCCTCGTGTTACTGTTCTAGATCATGTGTTCGAGCCTCGTTTTAGACTGCGCCAAAGTACAAATAAGTCAACATTCTCCGTTACGTCCATTTCCTCAACCAGTTCACATGGAAATGGGTTAGGCTTCATATATAATTAGGCTAATATTTCATTTCTAACTAAATGGTCTAAATGTATATATATAATTGCAATAATTAAAATTGTTGGTTATAAAAAAAAAAAGTGAAAAGAGTGGCGTTTCCTCCTGTGAAGATGGTCGGCTCTCCAATTCTCTGGTTGGAACGTTTTCACAAGTAATAAAATAATGAATTAGCTTAAGGCTGGCGCACACGATGCGATTTTAGTCAGCCGATAAAAATCGTTTGACATACCGATATACATTGGTATACTCCGCACACGATTGAACTGTAGCCGCCATGTTGCCAAATAAATACAAGCACGTGATCACAGCATGAAATCTGATTGGTTATACTTAAAATTCCACCGATAAAAATCGTATAATATCAAAACGTTTTGATGTTGTCCGATTAAAATCGAGCAACAAAAATCGGTTAAAAATGACACCGCACACACAACGATTTTGTTAGTTTTAGTCAAACGATTTTTATAGGCCGACTATAAAATCGCATCGTGTGCGCCAGGCTTTAGATATTTGTATTTAAGTATATGATTGTGGTGTTTTGTACTTTTAGACTAAGCAGAAGATTTAAAAGAATTGATT